GCGGGTCTTGCGGCCACAAGCAGCGCACATACATCCCATGTGGCACCTGAAGTCGCTTCGATTGGTGGTATGGCTGCTAGATGCTGCTAGTGTATCGGCAAGTGCGTCTTCTTCCAGTGATGCAGTCCCACCTTCACTGGGCCCTTCATTGGGTGTGCCACCTTCTTTGGGTGTGCCACATCCACCGGGTGTGCCGCGCCCACCACCTGTCCCAGCCATGCCTACAACCGTTGGGACGCGAGTGAAGGCAGCTGCTCCCTACCCGGTTCCTCCAGCACGGAGCTTCTTGACTTGCAGTTTGTTATTTTGCGTCTGGTTCTACACGTATCTGTCGCCGAAAAAAAATCAAAAGTATATCAGCATATCCAGAATTCTGTTTTTGGTTTCTTTTGGTTTGATGCTCTAGCCTGTTTGAGGTGGGGATGCGTCCACAGGGATCTACGACTTCAGGGTTGGAGAATCGTCAAGGCAGCGTCAATGGCGACTCTTCGGAATCTGGCGTGGACGAGGCGGGTGGACGAAGCGACTGCAAAATGAAGCTGAACGGTCCGAATGGTCCGAATGGTGGTAAAAAAAGGGCTTCAAAGGGTTGTGCATGTTGTGGCGAAGCGGTTTGTCCGCTTGTAGGGTTTTTTTTCGTCTTGTTGGCTAGCGGTGTGTCCGCTTGTAACTCTTCAGCAGTGTGAACGCTATATATAGGCAACAGGTTTTGTGAACTAGACTAGATAGAGATAATACCATTGTGGCAATCTATATGTCTAGTGACTGCAGCATTTGCTGTTCAGGTTTCACTCTCCCATATAGGCAACTGTAGATCAAGATGGCAGAGCGGAGGAAGCAGCAGAATTATTCTTCTCTGCGCCGCTACCTGACCGCTCCCATATGGGATGGGCTGAAGCAATCCTCGCGCGAGAAGGCAGCGATAGTGTTATTTCAACACTGCTGGCTCTTAGGTTTGAGGTGTCCCTCAGAAGGGACATTCGCGCTCCTGGGAAACCTTCTTCAGATGACCAAGCCAGAGGGCGCAGGGCTTCTGACCGCTTTTGAGTTCTACCAGTTCATCAATGGTTTGAAGAAGCAGTGGAAAAGCTTCAAGGCGCTCAACCGGGCCACTGATCAGGACTATGGGGAATACCTCTTAACTCTACCTGGGGAGCCTCGTGAGCTACCAGCAGAATATCATTTGCAAGCATTTGTTCACGAGCCGTTTGTTCCATGCAGTGTCTCTGCTGAATTCGGCGATTTTTTTCAGGGGTGAATTCTTTGGAGTGGAATTGGCCTGGAGAGAATTTAAGCGATCAAGGACTGCCGATGGAGGAGCTTTTGATGGCAGCTAGCTCCACCAAGTTGCGGTGGCGTGGACCAGCTGAGCAGAAGGCGACCAGTGACCCAGGGTTGGAGAAGGACATGAAGCTGATGGAATTAGCTTTCCGCATGGGGCAGAATGCAAGTGGGTCTCCAAGGACCCCGGCTTCTTCAGCTAGCTCGGGCGGTGCTGCGCCGCAGTTTCCCGCGCTGCCTTCACCGCCGGGCATGCTGGCACTCCAGGATGGTGGAGTTGACACCATATATGTTTTTGAAAGAATTTCTCAGGTTCAAGCTTTGCTGATTGTAAGACACTTTAGTTCACGGTGTGACTGTATCGAAGCGGTGTGCCCGCTTGAGCGGTATGTCCGCTATCATGTTTGTTATCACTGACTAAGAAACATGTGTCATTACTCATGTATATATATATATATATATGTATATATATATATATGCATATATGTATATTAGAGATTGTGCAGACGCGTTTAACTTCTATCTATCTATCTATCTATCTATCTACCTACCTATCTATCTATCTATCTATCTATCTATCTATCTATCTATCTATCTATCTATCTATCTATCTATCTATCTATCTATCTATCTGTTTCTCCCCATATACATGTTAATGTGTACACGGGTGTGCCATGTTAGGACCAGATTGAAGCTGCGCCAGAAGAGCAGTGCGCAGTTCCTGACCAAGATCTTCCCGATCGTCAAGAAGCTGAGCCGAATGATGGAGATGGCGGTGAGCTCACAGAGGAGCTAGAGGGGGATGCAGTGCAGAAGTTGGCTGAAGCTTTGAAAAACCGTGACGTGGAGAAGAAAGAGATGCTCAGAGCTACTCCAAAGGTGGCGGCTGCAAAGCCCAAGGCCAAGTCAAAGGCATCTTGCCCGGTTAAGGCGTCGAGCAAAGCCAAGGTGAAGAAGCCACAGGAGAAGCAGAAGGCCAAGACCAGAAAGCATAACACAAAGAAGAAGGACCAGACGTCGAAGACGCGAGCTCAGAAGCCGGACAAAGACAAGCTGAAGAAGACTCGCAAGGGCCAGGAGATCAAGGCCAAGCCGCAGGTCAAGAAGGCCAAGGTGGACAAACGGGAGCTTCAAATGACAGCGAAGGATGTCTACAGCAGGGCTTACCACCAAACCCGAAGCATCTTGATTGGATTTCAGTCAGCTCGTTTGCGCTTTTCCCCTTAAAAAGACAATTTCCCGAATCTTTGATCAACCTTGCTTAGGTAGGTTGGTGAAGGACAGCAGCCTGAAAAAGGATGCTATCAAATTGAAAGCCAGGGCAGCTGGCCACCGTGCTGTGCAGCGTGCTTTCTCTACACGCTGAGGGATATGTCACGGATGGAGCTTGCAAGGATCCTTGGCTGAGAAGTGCAAAAAAGATTGCCTTTCAAGTTGCGGCCCAAGTATCACTTGCACTATAGGAACTTGAGTTGTTAGAGTTTGGTAACTACCTGGTATGTATGTATGCATTATATATATATGTGTATGTATGTATGTTTGTCCATATATGGATATGTATATGTATATGTCATTCTTGTTGCTGGTACAGCGGTGTGTCCGCTTAGGAGTTGTTGTATCCAAAGCGGTGTGTCCGCTATAGTAGATCATCGTATATAGCGGTGTTCCCGCTTTCATATGGCACTTGACTTTGCTATAGTTCCATGACTTCATCAGGCTCAGAGCAGGTTTGACTGTGTCTAGTTGGATGTCCACCGCCTTGCGCAGGAACACCGAATCTGACATTCCAATGACCAAATTTGAGTGGCATTTCATCACATGGAGAGAAATGGAGGAGCTCACCGAAGAGCGGCTTTGGGATTCATGGGCGAAGCCGAAGACCTTTCAGAGCCTCCCTCCAGCTCAAGAGACCCGGCACAGACTCAACGACAAAGTTTTGTGGATGGGAGATGGGACTTCTTCTTTGAAGTTCACCTTGGTTAACCACGAGAACTTGAAGCACAAGCCCAGCTGGCGCATGTCGTTTGTCTTCACAAGTCATTAAAAGGAGGTATATATTCATGAATATGATATAATAAAGAAACACTTGGATATAATGCTATTTCTCCCAACCAGTTGAAGAGAGAAGAGAGAAGGCAATCAATGTCTAGCGTCTTCGATATTATACCGATTTTTCGAACACATAAACATAATTTCTCTCAGCGCTATGTACACGCTGCAGGTACCAATCTGTTCGATCAGCTGATGCTTTTGTGGTTCGTCCCACAGGTGTCCCTGAGGGTACCTTGTGCTTTGAGTTTACCTGGCTGAGGGAGAAGAAGGAGATGAAGGTGAGCGTACCTACCTCTGGCCAAGAGATTGGCAAGATTCCTGGCAGATGGGGTCCACGCACAGTCTTCCACAAGGCAGGGTCTGAACAAATACCGATGAAACAAAATTTGGAGAGAAGGTGATAGCGGTGTGACCGCTTGAAAGCAATCTCTTTTTAATAGAATGAGCTCAGCTTTTTAAAAACCCTATATACTAGACTGGCTTTTCAACATGTGTCTCGCGCAACCTGAGGTCATGGATGCATTTCTTGGCTTCTGTGATTTGAGCAGCGGCAATCCGTCCATGATCCTTGGGTCATGCCAAATTGCAGCTGTGAAGGAAGACACCGTGATTGGACCAGAGATGAGGAAGCTAACCCTTGAAGAACTCTGGGGTGATTTTGGCAGCTCCGGAGATGTAGAGGGCAGCAGTGATGAAGACGCAAGGCTTGCGCAACAGAGCCTCGTCTTCAGATTTTTCTTCTCACAGTTTATTCCCTGTTCCACCCTATATAGATGATCTAGATGGTTGTCAGGATGAGTCGGGGAAATGGCCTGCCTCGGGGACTTCCTCATGAGACGCAGCAGCGACCCAAGCAGAAGGTGCAAAACAAGATGAAGAAGCCAGCATCGGCTGCGCACATGAAGAAGCCTGCTCGCAAGGTCTAAGAGCTTGACACAGCAACTTGCCCGGTAAAAAAAAGGCTCATCGATGTTTCCTGGAGCTGCGTTTTTCCAAGACATTTTCAAACAGAAAGAGCGGTGATTCCGCCAAAGAGCCAGATGTATAGCGACAGCGGTGTGCCCGCGAGCGGTGTGCTCCGCTGCAAAGGTATACTATGTTTTTGCGCTGTCATTTGGTCAAAGCGGTGTGCCCGCTATAGGTGTGCTCTGTTAAAGTTTGAAATGTTTTTTTTTTTTTCTTGGGCTTGTTTGGGCCGCTGTGAAGTAAGAGTTTCTACATATATGAGGAACGGACATGCATCGAACATCTACTGGAATCTATCTGTTATATAAGTCTATGCTTGATATCTATCGGATACCGATGCTGCTATCTATTGCTATCTATCAAAATCACTTGGAATATCTTTCCTGATATCTATTGCTATCTATTGCTATCTTTCAAAATCATGAGAAATATCTATCCTGATATCTATCTGCTATCTATTGCTATCTATTGCTATCTATTGCTATCTATTGATATCTATCGGATATCTATCCGATATCTATTGCTATCTATCGGATATCTATCAGATATCTATTGCTATCTATCGGATATCTATAGGATATCTATTTGATTTCTGTAGGCGAAACATAGATGTTTCAAGGTCCTCTACAGCGTCCAGTGTTCTTTTTGGAGAACTTTTTGGCTGCCTTGACTTGGTAAAACCCAAGTTGCTACAACTGGCCATGTCTGCGCAGTCGATCGCCGAGACGCAGCCAGATGACACCTTGTTTCCTTGCATTAAGTGCGGCCTGGATTGTAGCGCAAAGGATAGCGCTGTTCTCAGAGGCGCAAATTGGCAATGCAAGTCCTGCACCAATGTGTACCAGATCCTTTACCGTCACATGGGCGGATTACCGGAATCCTGGAACAATATGACACCAGAGTCGCAGGTGCAATTCTTCAAGCATGCTGGAAGTGCCATCAAGTGCGCGCCCAAAAATGGACGGTGGAGCCACGTTAGAAGTTCCCTGGTCTCACAGATGACCCACTTCCATACGGAGCAAAGAAGGATCAGGTGCAATCGTGAGTTTCTCCCTCTGTCAGTGTGGGCAACAAGGGGCTTCGACACGAAGCGAATTGAAGCCAACGGGGAGATGCGCGAGGACAAGGCCCTTTGGAGATTAGTATGCAGTACATTGGGGCACACATAATTCATGTTTAATTCTTGTTTCAACTATTTTCCAAAGAATGCTTTTGCGCCCGAAAAATCGTCTTTGTCAGGTCTTTGGTGAAGTCTGGACAGCACCACTGTCCACGATCTCCGATGATGACATTCGTGGTACCGTGGAGAAAGAGATCTTGGAGAAGGAGAACCGCTTGAAGGAGAAGAAGAAGGTCAAAGGCAAGAAGCCGGCAGATTCTGCTTCACCCCCAGCAGATGGTCCAGGCAGCTCTGCCTTCGCGATCGACGACGATGTTTGGAGCATTCCATCCGAGGATGAAGGCCCCATGGTGATTGGAGAAGGGAAGCCGCAGAAGGCTACAAAAACGAAGAAAGAGGACGACGCCGCGGTGGCTGCCCGAAGGGCTGCACGAGAGCGGGACCAAAAGTGGAAGCAAGAGGTTTGCAAGGCTACCAGGTACATCAACAGCCTCAACTCCGTTTGCCATTCTTTGGCGACCGTCTCCGCCAAAGTTGAGAAGAATCCCGAGTTGATTCCTGACAAGCTGACTGATGGCCTGAAGCAGGCTGTTACGCAGATGAATTACTTCAAGCAGCGCCACTGGGCCGCCTAAGAATTTGTGTCCCTGGCAGCGGTGTGTCCGCTTCTTTTTGTCAACAATGTAACGCTTCAATCTTAAAAGCGAAAATTGATATAATACAGGGATTCGCCACGCAGCGGTGTGTCCGCTTGTTTCTTGTTGAGACTTGTGTTCATGTACCGTACTAGATTCAAAATATTCTAATGTGCCGAGTGAAAGGCGTTTATAATTTTTCTTTTACTTAATAACCATTGACTGTAAACCGCGATGTGCCCACTCAATGTTGATTGCATTGAGGTGCCACCCAGCTCATCAGCGCCTCTGATGGGACTAAAAGTTCCAGCTTGCCTGAAGGCTTTGATGCTGACTCCTGTTGCAATGACCAGCTCAAAGCCGCCCAAGCAGTTTTGAAAGATTGCCGGGCGATTTTCACAGAGAAGTCTCGCGAAGCCAGGGAGGCCAAGGCGGCAGCACCGAAAGCTGCACCGGCGGCAAAGCGTAGCGCCAAGCCCAAGGCCAAGTGATAGTTGACACATTTGACAGTGCAATTAGATTTGATGACTCGAAATTCGATCCTCGCAATTCCGCATTGATTGTTGCGTTTCTTTCGACGCAGCAGTGGCAAAAGAGCATGGCAAAAAGAATCAAAATCTTTGGCTACATGTCTTGGCTTCCCATGCGGTTTTTCACATGCAGAGATCCATTCCACCTTGAGTTCTTGTTTCTAGAAGAATGCAAAGCGGTGTGACCGCTGATTGTACAGTGCTGTGGCTGCTCATTGCACAGCGGTGTGACCGCTCCTTATTAGCGGTATGGCCGCTCATGTCACTATAGACTATAGGATGCACAACTTGGTTACTGTCGCATGCACAACTCAGACATATTCTGCTCCTAAATATATATTGTGTGGCTTTTGTGACAAGCACTTGAAGATGTCAAGTTTCAACAGTTGACAATACATGATATGGATATACTATATATCTGTCAGTCCAATTATCCATCTATCCATATATCAATCTGTACATCTACCTATCTCAATGTCCATATATCAATTTCCAACTCAAAGCCATTTACTCATTATGTCTCCATACAGATACATTTGGTTTTGTATTGAATCTTTTGATAATGCCTTCGCGATGCCAAAGAGAAAGGCCACGAATGAGGCGCGTGACCAAGTTGCGCGTGGCCTGTCGGTTCGAGGAGCCTCCGAAAGAGCTGTGAACCAGCTTTGGAACCTCTGGCATGCTGAGGACGAACAAATTGCAAGGGGAAGTTTCCAAAGAATTGTGGACAAGGAGCTGCAGCCATGGAAAGAGGCTACCATCAACGTGGCATTTCCTACCTATGAAGGTGGGCAGGTGGTGCTACCCATTGTGGATTTGAAACCAACCTTGCAGAGAATGGCACATGAGTCGCCGGCATTCACAAAGGCTTTAGCAAGGGCGCTGCTTGGTACTGGTGTTTTGACGCCCATTTTTTATTGCGATGAGTGCCAGGCAGGAAACATATTGTCTGTGGAAAAATTGCGCAAGGCAAACATATGGTACATGTCCTGGTTGCAGTGCTGGCATCACCTCAAAAGCCCTTCGATGTGGATTGTTATCTGCGTCGTGCAATCAGCATGTTTGCAAGGCAGCCCCGCAATCGTGGGAGGTAGCTCAGCAATCATGAAATCCATTTTGGAACACCTGGTCAGCGGTGAGCATGAAGCTGGCTGGTTGCTGACTCCAGAGGTCCACTTCAAACAAAACCAAAAAGCTTGGTTTCTGGGGGACAATGACGCCATCAGGTCGGTGTTTTCGCTCAAGGGGAGCGCAGGTCTCAGACCTTGCGTCCTTTGCTCCAACGTCGTGAAGGCAACTTCTTCAAGCTTCCTCAATGACAGCACATGGAAGGATGTTGGGGCATCAGGTGGCTTCAAAGTCAGCACAGACCAAGAGATCTTTGGCCATTGTGACAAATTGAAGAGCTTCAGAACGAAGGCGGAGAGGGAGATCTATGAGAAAGCTTCGGGAATTGTCTTCGATGAGGCGTCCTTGATGTTTTCAGAAGCTGAAAGAACAAAGCTCCCTCCTTCACGTGTCATGAATGACACTATGCACTGCTACATGACAAATGGATGCGCGAGCTGGGAGCTTGCCATATTTTTGCAATCTGTTTTTGATCATACTCATGTGACGCTGGAAATTCTCCAAGGAGCCGTAGCTTCTGATCAGTGGATGGGTCTGAAGGCCAGTGGCAAAACACAAAACTATGTGAAAAATTTGCTCAATGCCAAGATGTTCAGTGACGACAACTTTAAAGGCGAGGCCCACCAGACAGCAGCGTTGGTACCATTGGTCCGGTACTACATGGAAACTCTCATAGAGCCAGCGAGCCGTGTGCCACCCGCTTGTGTCGAATCCTTTCGGTGTCTGTGCAACATCGTATCCTTCATTCGAGAAATATCTCATGGCCTCTACCCCCTGGACGAAGCATCCATGCAGCATTTTGCTGCCCTACAGCAAAAGCACCAAACGCTGTTTGCAGCGGCATATGGTGAGCAGCACAAGCCCAAGCACCATCACCGAATGCATATCCCCACACAATGGTTGGCTGCTGGTGTGCCGGTGAACTGCGAACCACTGGAGTCGAAGCATCGGTTGTACAAATCTGGGGTTGCTGACAGGCAAGTGGGGCAAGTCAGAGACCACGAAAGTTTTTCCGCATCTGTGCTTTGCCGGCTGCTGCAAACAAGTCTAGACATTGTCAAGAAGCATGGGCTGCCTTTTTGGGAACTGCTTCCGCCCATCAAAGAAGCCAGCTTGGATGACAAAATCTTTCTCGCGACTACCAGTCTCCAGACAAGCCAACGTATCTCGCTGTCGTATATGGTTACCATTTCTTGTTGCTGCTTCCCACATTTACAGATTTCCAGCGGTGTGTCCGCTTTAGGTGCAGATATATGAATAAAATTGTTAACATTTATCTGCATTAAAACCTTCACATGTTTCACGCTTCTTGTTGTATTCATGCGCAAGTCAACACATTGTTGCAAAAGGCATCCCAGCTATCGTGTATATCTAAGGTTGCCACCTGCTGGCTTGCGAAATCAGGCAAGGCGACATCTTGTGTTGGCAGCACGAAGCTGGCATCGTCTCTGAGTGGTTCTCACAGCCGGACCATGGCCTTTTTCTGCGCTACACCAAGTTGGCATTCGTTGCTGGGCCCGAACATTGCTTACATGTTCCTACTTTCTTGGTATTGTCTCATTTCCCAAAACAATTTAGCATTACTTACCATTGAAAGATTTTGCACACCTTCAAGCAAGGTCGAGAGGAAGACATGGGGATCTATTTGGCGAGTTACAACCGATGTTGTCACTGCAGCAGTCTCAACAACTCAAGCATATACCATTCCTACATGGTACCGGTTCTCCATCGACAAGATGTATATCACGTGCTTGCGCTGAAAAAAAAAGGCTGTGATCACAAGTTCACTTGGGTCTCACTTGGATGCTCTTGTATCACCGTGACTATAGAAGCTTCTGCTGATCCTTGAAATTGTTAATACCTGCAGAACATTTGTGTCTCAAACGTAGAAAGACAAGAGCTGCGTCGCGAAAAGTGCCATGCTGGAAGCGCTCTTTTTGTTGGCATGCCAGATTGCTGCCGAAGTTGACGCTTGGCCACCTGAAAAACAAGAACGCTTGGAAGCATGCCGGGAATTTTGCCGCTCAGTCTGCACCGAACTTGGTCGCACTCCACAAACTGAGTGTCTCAGCAACCTGTGGGTGCTGATAACAATGACTCGATGCAGGCTGGGTGGAACTTCTGGGCACGACATTGATGCCGATGGAATGGCATGCCCGCCTGTGGCCCTTGGAGACCCATCTCAGTTGCTGAAGAAAATGAACCCATACAGGCGCCGTGCCTTCAAAAAAGACATCGAGATCATCCAGGATGTCCTCCCGAGCCTGAAGCACTTCGACCCGGCGCTGTTCAACGAAGTGCTGTCCCTGAGTACAAAAATCGACAAAATGATTTCTGATTAAGTCTAAAGCAGCATGGAGATCAAAAAATTGACCGCAGTCTTGCTTGCTACATGCTTGTGTCCACACAAAGCGGTGTGCCCGCTCATGTCACAGAAAGCGGTGTGCCCGCTCATGTCACCAAACAAAGCGGTGTGACCGCTCATTTCACACGAAAAACAGCGGTGTGCCTGCCCGCTCATGTCATGTGAGCAGTGTAACAGCACATCAAAAAATAGCATTTCTTTGGCCAAAGATTCTTTACATGCACGCATTATATTATGTTTGAACTGTCGTGAAACGTCTTTGTGAAGCACAAAAACAAGGTTTTTCATAAAACCTGTGTTTTTGGAGAAAACTATGATTTTTACATCGTTTCTACTTATTTCTACTTATTTCTACTTATAACCTAGTTTAAGTTACTTATTTCTACTTATCTTTAGTATTCAAAATTCAATTAAAGATAAGTAGAAATAAGTTGTTATTAAGTAGGTTAAGTAAACCTAAGTTACTTTAAGTAGGATAAGTAGAAACGGTCCATAAGGTACAATCAACACAATCATGCAATGACAAATTGAATGCAAGCTTTGATTACGTACACTCCATCAAAGGTAGCTAAAAAGAAATAAACGTTTGTTGACTACGCCAACTGCCCTCATTATTTCTTCACCGCACATCCAATTTCTCAACTGATTAACGGCTTCACTGCAGGCAGATTCACGCCTTCCCTTTTTCAAACCTCTTGGGGGGCTTCAAGTCTTGGCCTCATAGCCCACTATCTCACTCCCCCTTCTCAAGTGGGGTATGAGAGCATCTGAATCTGGCACGTTCCAAAATGCCAGCTAAATTCTCCACCTTGGATTCTAACTGTGGCTGCAACATGGCATGTTCTCGTGACCGTGAAAAGTGGTCTGCTACGTTGGCTTCCGTAGGCACTCTCGCATACCACGCCAACGAACTAAGCTCTTCTTCACACAGCGCAATCTCATGCACTATGCTTTCCAACACTTTGTTGGAAGAGTATCCTTTCAAAATCAAAAACCTAGACCCTTCGTTATCCAAGAAACATACCAGGTGCTTTGACTTAAGGTGAAGTCCCCACAGGCGATAAGCCACCAACACGGCTAGAGCTTCTAATTCTCCGATCGCTTGCTCCTGGTTCTCAGCCATGAAGGAATCACAAAGGTCTCGGGGGACGATGCAGCCAAACCATTGAACGACATGGCTGCACTTGTCCAACAGAACGGCCCCAAGTCCTCCACTTCTGGCTTCACAATCGAAGCTTGCATCAGTGAAAAGAAATGAAACGTCACTGGTGGTGGCTTCGACTCTGCGCGGCCCAGCTTTGACTATCCTGTCGGCCACCATCTCCAAGGCTCTTCTGGTACCATCTCCCAAGATGCCCCTGGTTGGGGTATGCATGGCGTGGTGCCCAAGCTCGTTGATCAACCTTCTGATCGCTCTACCAAACAACTGACCTTCTGCGAAACCAAGTCTCCCTTTGAGAGATGCCGCTTTTGAGGAGGTCATCCGTCCGGCTTGGAGGATCTCCGCTATTTGCCCTGCTATGTCCACTTTCCTCTTTTCAGTGTTGGCCACAAGGATGACCCCATCGGCGCTCTGACTCAGATCGAACACGACCCCGAGTGCGGAGACCTGTTCGCTCATGCTGTCAGCTTTTTCGCCGCTGCGATCAAATTCCCAACCGAGGAGGTCCAACAAAAGTTCGAAGGCCTTCTCAGTATTGGAGGCCACTGCGTCGGGGGCCATGCACACATAGTCATCAAAGTAGCAGGTGACCGGGATGTCTCAATGGTGGGCCAGCCACTGGATCATTCTGGCACAACGAAGGAAGGCCACCACACTAGCCTTTGCACCAAAAGGCAGCGAAAACTGTTGAAAACAACGTGTGCTACGATCTTCAGGGCAAAATACTGCAAGTCGCGCCCATTTCAACGAATCATCTTTTACTGCAAGTTGACGATAGGCGCTCTTGAGGTCGAAGCTCCTCCCTTTCAGCTTCTTGGGAAGTCGCCCCATGCCTAGGGCTCTCATCAACTCAGCTCCCATGGCGCTGATGGTATCCACTCCGTCAACAGTGCAGCGTCCAGTGATGTTGACAGCGTCGTTGATCTGTGACTCAGTGTAGTTGTCTATGGGCCTCACCTTGTCCTCTGCTTGAACCACAGCGAAGCGCCTGGACACTCGGCCATCATCTTTGGGCAGGCCAGGGAGCTCGGCAAGCCAACCCTTCTCAACTTCAGCTTGGGTCTTGCGCCACAACTCAGCGTCCACTACTTCATTGCCGCTTGACTTGGTGGAGTGAAAAACTGCCCGATTGCTGCGTCCTGAGTGCATGCTCAGGTCATTGATGGTCAATGTGGCAGGTTGAAACTCAGCGGGCAAAATGCCTCCACCCTCTGCCGTCCCCACCAAGCTGAAGCCATCTCTCATGTCCTGGACGATCCCCAGGTCAGGGTATTTAAAGTCTTCAAGAATTTCCTGTAGCACCAAGAATCTCTTGCCCTTTCAGGATGTTTCTGCGGTGGGGCGGCAAAGCAGCATGCAGTTTGGCCTCTTCGGCTCTGAGCTCAAATGCACGTGTCGTCCATGTTCTGAACCACTGCGCTCTCTTCAAGACTAAGGCTTCGAAGTTGGCAGTGGCATTGTTCCTATGGATGACCTCAGGCTTTTGGGAATGCCGTCCACCAAATTGGCGGGGTGGCCTCTCTTCAACGCCTCCTCTATGAAGCCCTCTTCACTCCAGGGGACGCCAAAAGCAACTTGAACTCCACTATGAGCGTTCTCCCCCCCATCTTGCTCATGGTGAGGGGCCGCTGTGATGCGCAAAATGCGCGTGTGTTGTGGAATGCAAATGGAGTCTTGCTGAAAAGCTTCTGGAAGCTTGGTGCCCACTGTAAGTGGTGGCGTGGTTGGAAGGTTTTGAGTCTCCACATGGCTCCATTCGGGCATGAAGGCAAGGGACTTCCTGGTCTGCTTCATGCTGTGGGCTCTGGCTTTCTTGTCCGGGTGGCTTGGCAAAGGTTCCAAGGCTCCCTTGTAGGTGCGCTCAACGACACGCGCAATGATTGCGGCCCATTGTTTGCACAGCTCTAGGGGGTACTCTACCTCGGTTGCTGTGGCAAAGCCCTCGGGCGTGTAGCCCCAAGGCAAGTGTGAGTGTTGGTTGGTACACTCACATGCCAGCTCGGTGAGTTCGTTGATGTCTGTGGCAATCGTAGTTTTCTTGGGTCGCTGGCCGCCGAACATGCATGCATGGAAAGTGACGTAGAGGGGCTGCGCAAAGGTTAAAACAAACTGCCAAAAACTTGTTGCCCAAAACCATGACCTAGCAGGCTGTTCCAAACTCCATCGAACTCCTCGCAAGATGCAAAGCACGATGAGACGGCAACCTGCGGCGTAGACTCTGTTTGCTGCTGCTACCCGTTCTGCATCTTTGCTGGAAGGTTGGGTATACCGTCTGGGTGCTCTGCATTTCTAAATGGCGCTGGTGCCCAAGGCATGTCCGGCAGTGCAATTTCTCGGGCTCGGCTCGAAGTCCCACATGGAAGCCCAAAATGTGCATAGGCGCACAAGGGGCTATTGATGTAGGACCTGGCAAGTTCTTCCCCATCTGGGGTCGCGATATCTACCTTCACAATGGGTGCCTTGTTGCCAGCCTTCACTATGTGGTCGACGCCAAATGTTCCTACCAGTCCAGCCTTCCTGAGCTGAGCTGTCAAGCCGCCCGTTCCAGAACAAAACTCCACTGCGAACGGGGAGGCCGTTTCGGTTGCTTCTCCAGCGGCGGCCAGAAGTCCTCTTGAGGTTTGCTGCTGTACTTCTGTAGGTCGCTGCCACCAATGTGTGGCGGTTGTTCTTCGACAGTGCCACTGGGCTTGCATTGAATTCCAGATTGCGACGGGGCTGACCCGTCCTCGAGGGGGCTATCCCCCGCTCCTCATTTCTTGCTGCATGAAAAGTGCGGGTGCTTCTCGAAGCATCCACGTGTACAGCATACATGTTTCCCTTTCTCACATGACTCACCGGGAGCAGCCTTGCTGCAGCCGTCTATGTTGAACCCGAAACAAATGCGACTTCCATCTGGGGTGGTACTCGCGCACCCCTTCAGCTGCATTGGGAGCTTGCCACCATTCTGGCCTGTGGCTCCCTTCTTCTGCTTCCATTGCCCCTGTTTCGGGCTGCGCCACGAGCTCGACTCATTGCCTTTCCAAGGAGCGCCCCAGTTTTGCTTCTCGGGCTTGTCCGGCCTGGCTTTCGGAGCGGCTTTCTGAGGTTCCACCGTGGGCAACATGTAGTACACTACGGAGTGGTCCTTGTGCATGTCCTCCAAGATTTTGTCGAGTGGGCGTGTGCCGTCTCCCTTGGGCTTGATCCCATCGCGAGTGAGCTCTTGCATTTTCACAGAAGCCTGCCGGTCTGCACGGAGCAGCTGAGTCACTGACGGCGCCCGGAACCCTGGTGGGGCTGGTTGCCTCATCATCTGAAAGAGGCACTGGATCCACTTCTGGAAGGTCTCGAAGTCTGCAACCCCCACCGCATCAAATGCCAGAGATCTCCTGGTCATCGCCTCCATGATGTCCAGCTCGCCGCTCACAGAGCAGGTCTGCTCATTCTGTGCGTCTTTGACCAAGATGCCGCTCCCACTTGAGTCCAGCTTCAATTCTTTGGGGGGCTTTGCAGAAGTGATCTCCTGCATCCTGGTAATGCATTTGGCCGGAGACAGGTATTTCAAAGTGTCGGCCTCCACCATCCCGTTGATCACGTCATAGACTGAGTGAGCAACTTCGAGGGTGCCTTGGAGATCCAGGCCTGTCAGCCGCAACTTCTGGGCAGCCAATCTTGTCGCCCGCTCTGCTGTCGGCATCTTGCGAGTGCTCGGATCAGCTGCAGGGTCAGCATGCGCCCTCGACAACGCCACCATTGACGTCTGGGCTTCAAAAATCAACCTCTTCATCACCACAACGTCGCCTACCGTGATGGCTTTGCCACTGACCGCCTGGTCCAGCAAGGCCCTGACATCAGCTTCAGGGACTGGGCTTCCCGGTTGGCCGCACGCAAAAGCAAGGCCTCCCAAATTCATGATGCCCAAACGTTTGAGCCCCTGAATCCATTCATCTTCCAAACCAAGGTTGCTCGCCTGCTTCTCGAATAAGGCGGCTGTGCTATCGGCAAGCGAGGTGGCGGCCATGACAACGCTACTAGAGAGTTACGAAGCTTGTAAAAAAAATGAAACATCAAGGACATGAAACATCAAGGACATGAACCAAGTGACCATGAAAGTTGTGTGATCCTACCGTGACACGGCCAATATGTGTTAGAGCCTCAAGCTGCCCTCCGGGACATATTGACCACAGTCAAGTCCGCTGCAAAGTTATGAAACTTGTAAAATGAAACATCGAGGACATGGACCAAGTGACCATGAAAGTCATGTGACCCTACCGTGACACGGCCACTATGTGCTAGAGCCTCAAGCTGCCCTCCGGGACATATTGACCACAGTCAAGTCCGCTGCAAATGAACATGGCCTCATGCCAAAAAACCTAGATCACACAAACAATCCCAAATCAACAAGCAAAGCCACAAATAAAGAAGTGTCTTGAAATGCCTCGTGCATGTGGGCCTCATGCCCAAAGAACTGAACCTTCAGTGGCCTCAAGCCTGAAATGCCTTACGCCTCAAGCGTACGAAAGTCAGATGCCTCGTGCATCTACTAAACTTGATACCCTCAGGTATGTCCTGGCCTCATGCCGCACTTTCTGAAACTTTTTTCCCGAATGCGTAGCAAGGGTTCCCGTTTCACTCTGGGGGTCTGGGGGTTGAGGGTGTGTTCGCTCGACGTTGCGTTCACGGTCGCAACCGTTCGCAACCGTCCGCAACCGTTCGCGCGATCCCCGTATGGCCGTGCCTATGGGAAGTTCTGCAGGAGTGGTCCTTTTTGGCGTTTTCAGACGTCGGGTTGCTTCGTTTCGCGTGGCAGGCGTGGCACTTCGTGACATTCAGACGTGTTCTGGAACGTGTCGAAAGTCGTTTTGCGTGGCAGGCGCAATACTTTTGCGACGTTTTCAGAAGATGTGTTGCAGTTTTCGTGGCAGGCGCAGCACTTTGGACGTGTCCATTGTCATTTTTCGTGGCAGGCGCAGCACTTTAGACGTGTCGTGTTGCGTGTTTTTTTGTAAATCGCATTGGCAGGGCTGCGTCAAGTGGCGACAAGGTGCAAATTTCGTGGCAGGCGTAGCATTTTGTGACATGTACTGAAAATTGACGGAAGCCTCGCACGAAACATCGATTTTGAGGTTGCAAATTTTCAGGTTCTAAGGAAAACTCGTAGGAAAACGTCGATTTTGAAGTTGCAAAGTGTCAAAATTGGAGGAAGTCTCGCACGAAATGCTCGTTTTGGTGCTCCCACGTGTCTCGTCTCGAGTCTCTGGTTTTCCCGTGGCTTCCCCGTGTCTATGGGGGAAGCCGCAAAACCTTTCCTTTTCAAAGGTTTCCAAGGAAGTTGTCATGCCGTTTTGCGTGGCAGGCGTGGCACTTTGTGACATTCCAACCTGTTTGATAATGTGTCAAAAATGTCAAAATTGGAGGAAGTCTCGTACGAAATGCTGGTTTTTCTGCATCCACGTGTCTTGTCTCGAGTCGCTGGTTTTCCTGTGGCGTCGCCGTGTCTATGCCTATGCGGGAAGCTGGAAAACATGTCCTTTTCGACTGTTTCCAAGCAGGTTGTCATGTCGTTTTGCGTGGCAGGCGTGGCACTTTGTGACATTCCAACCTGTTTGATAACGTGTCGAAAATGTCAAAATTGGAGGAAGTCTCGCACGAAATGCTCGTTTCTTTGCACCCACGTGTCTCGTCTCGAGTCTCTGGTTTTCCTGTGGCGTCGCCGTGTCTATGGGGGAAGCTCCTTTACACTCCACACTCCACAATTTACACTTTAGACCCCACACTCTACACTTTACACTCCACACTTTACACTTTGCACTTTACACTCCTCACTCCTCACCTGAGACTTTACACTCCACACTCCACACTTTACACTACACTCTACACTTTCCACTCCTCACTCCTCACTCTACACATTTCACACTCCGCACTCCACACTTTACTGTACACTCCACACTCCACACTTTACACTACACACTCCTTACTTTACACTCCACACTTCACACTCCACACTTTCCACTCCACACTTTACACTTTACACTCCTCACTTCACACTTTACACTCCTCACTCTACACTTTACACTCGTCACTTTACACTCTACACTCCACACTCTACACTTTACACTCTACACTTTACACTCTACACTCCACACTCTATACTTTACACTCTGCACTCCACACTTTACATTTTACACTCCACACTCTACACACCACACTCTACACTTTCCACTCCACATTTCGCACTCCACACTTTACCCTCCACACTTTACACTTTACACTCCTCACTCCACACTCTACACTCCACACTCCCCACTTTACACACCACACTCCACACTCTACACTTTCCACCCCGCACTCCGCACTCCACACTCCACACTTTACTGTGCACTCCACACTCCACACTTTATACTTTACACTCCTCACTCCACACTCCACACTTTACACTCCTCACTCCACACTTTTACACTCCACACTCCACACTTCACACTCCTCGCTCCACACTCCACACTTTACACTCCACACTTCACACTCCACACTTTACACTCCACACTCTACGCTTTACACTCTACACTATACACTCTACACTCCACACTTTACACTTTACACTTCACGCTTTCCACTTTACACTCCACGACACTTTCACACTTTACACTCCTCACTCCACACTTTACACTCCACACTCCACACTCTACACTTTACACTCCATACTCCACACTCTACACCTTATACTCCGCATTCTACACTTTACACACTCTACACTCCCCACTCCACACTTTACACTCCACACTCCTTACTTCACACTCCACACTCCACACTCTACACTTTCCACCCCACACTGCAGACTGGTAACAAGGGAAACATGTACAAGACTGTTCAAATATAAACTATTGTAGAAAGGTATTGTGCGTGACTGCATAACCACATACGTGTGAGCATTCGGGTTCGTGGGCTTCATCTTGTTTTTTAGCTGCAATGAGTCTCGAATCAAATGCGGCGGCGCTTGCCACTGCTGATGACTTCGACCAAGCTCTTCTCCTTGTCCTGGTCCTTCTTGAAACATTTGCTGCACTTCGGCCAGTCAAACGTGGACCCATTTGGCATCTGGCAGAAGCCTGAGCCGTGCAAAGTCACAGGCTGCAAGTGGTTGGATTCATCCTGACTTCTGCGATGCAGCATCTTGCTCCTCTTGTTCTGCATGAGGTCGCCCTCCACTGCCTTGGTGTCAGTATTGTCCAAGAGGCTGCGCTGCTTTTCAAAGAACTCCTCCTCATCGCTGCTCGAGCCACATGCGTCAGAGTCAGGATCTGCTGAGGAAGCGCTCTCCACGATCTCGTCTCCAACTTGACATGAAAGTGGGTCGTCTTGTCCAGATCCATCCTTTGCGTCGTCCCAAGTCTGCTCACCGAAACGATTGTTGGGATCAAACTCTGCGCCGTGCTCCTGAGCATCGTCAGGGGCCAGCGATGGACTGGGGACCAATGAACTCAGGTCGTCCCCATGCTCACTCACCTTGGCCTCTCTCGTTTTCTCCAACCGCACTTCCATCAAAGGGCCCGCCATCCATCCAGAGCGAGTGCCATCGGGGTCGAATCTCCCCAGCTGGATGTTCAACAGGAGGCCAGCTAGGTCTCTCAGAGGTTTCGCCAACATGTCGCGCGAATAGCGCGCTAAAGAGTGCTCCTTCAGGGCGTGGTGCCCAAGCATCGCACGGCACTTGTCATCAATCCCAAAACGGGCTGCCCACACCAATGTTGTAGCCCTGGAAGTGTTCTCGATCTCCAAGAATGCATTGAGCATGGAGCTGGCTTCCGCCGTGGTCAGGGCCCTTTTGGTGAACTCGCCATCGGCAGTGGGGGCCCTGCAAATCGGCCCAAAAGGTTCATGCCCAGGAAACAAAGGCAACTCCTTCAAAGTTTCTGCCCAGGATAAACCCCATGGCTCAATCCCGATGCCACGGATCGGAGCCACGTACGGCATGAACATCGCCTTCCGTTCGACGCTGCTCGAAGTCTTGTGAATTCGTGTTCTACCTTCCCAGAACCCGAACTGGCCGTCCTGCACCTTGATGACGTCCAGCTCCAAACTCTGCATCGAGGACATGTCTCCCCATCTGGCACGGGAGTAAAGGGCGTAGAGCATGCAGCCGATGAAGTATCGGTCATATATGTTGGGGGCTGTCCTGAGCTTGTTTTCTAGGAGCTTGACTTCTTCTACCGTGAGGGCACGTGCCTGTTCAGTGGGCTCTCTGGTAGCGAGGACTCTGCTCACGCGGCCCGTCAAAAGGGGGCCACAAACTCGGTCCACGTCAAACTCAGCTCCAAAGAGAAACTTGAAAAACTTCAAAGAGTGCATCAAGTTCTTTCCAATGAACTTACTCTTGCTAGCAACCTCGACTGCTTCCAGATAGGCAAGCAAGTTGACTTCCTCCAGCGGCCACCAATGAACCGAGTTCTTGTCAGCCCACTTGATGAACAACTGCAGGTCTTTGCCGCGCTTCAAGACAGTACTGGGCGACCGAATGCCGCAAGCGTCTCTGATGCAAACCAAAGCTCCATCTCTGTCGCCACTCTGCACCTTCTCCATGACATACTTGCCCACAAGCGACTCGAAGCGACTCCCTTCAACTATCGCAAGCCAACGTGCTAAGCCCCTTGTCCACAACAAGCTCTGAGATGCTGCATGGTCACGATCAGTGAGGGCTTTGACATGCTTTGCAAATACGGGGACGCCACACGCTGCCTGTCTCATCTGTGGGTCAATTGAAATGTGAGCACCTACCTCCTCGTTCTTGGCAGTGAACGGCATCGCAGCTGGAGCCGGCAGCCAGGCATCTTCTGATGGGAAAACCTGGATGTCTTCTCCACCAAAGATCTGAGCATAAATGCCCTGTTCCCAAGGCAGCTTGGGTAAGCTCAAACCTAACTGAGGTATGCTTTGCTCAAACACAGTGCGTTCGTGGTGTCGTTTTTCGACAGTGGAAAACCTACGGATGCTGGTTTCTTTCGGACTCTCGGCAGGGGTCTCGTC